AGCTGAGCAGTGAGTGAATGACAACTTAAATGACCAAAGTCACTGCAGGGACCCAGGCAGGTGATTAACTGTCTGCTAATGAGCAAAACATACAAATTTAAATAAGTGACATTTTCAAAACAGCTATTTTTATTGGACCCAGTTTATGAACCACCCTAGAGGTTTTTGGGCATTAGTTGTCTCCAGAGACCTTAACTGATTGGGGAGGCAGAGAAAGAGAAAGAGAGAGACAGACAGACAGACAGACAGACAAAGACAGAGACAAACAGAGAAACAGAGAGAGACTGAGTCCAGGTCCCAGTGTCATTGCCACAGTTCTGAATGTCATCAGTGACCCTGGATCCTCTGGCGAGGCCCGTTTCAACATGTCCTCCGTTATAACTTCCCAAGGAAACTCACAGAGACTGGTACCCCTTGCTCTTTATTTACAGACCCAAATAAGACTGCCATACAGTTAAAATGCTGTGTAGTGGGGAATGGCATCTGGCTCCAATAATGGCTGTCCCAAGGGGCCAGGTGCACGGCGAGGAAGCACGTAGGAGTCACTTTGACCCTGGGAAACTGGCCAGTGGGGGAAAGCTAAAAGCTAATTCCTCCGGGTCTCTTCCTCTGGTGGTTTCGAGGTGCTGTGCTTCTCAGAGCCTGCGAATGAGAAAGTGGCTGTTTTATGTTCTGTGTTTGCGGCCACCAAGGCAGCTACAGTCTTGCATCTTCTTTCCATTCTTCCTGGTTGAATGCCTCCATCTTTTTATTGTTACTGACCCGCAGTTGTACCCCCTCAAAAATGTATCCCTACATACTCCTAGCCTGGTTTCCAAAAGAAAACAAACAAGACGCTGAATTGAACAGACCTTAAGACAAAGGCAGTACCCCCTCGAATGAAATGTTTCTATCCAATATTTGAATCCCTCAGTGGTGGCTTTTCATTGTAAAACATCAGAGAAGAGATATTTTGAATAGAGAGAAGTAGGTAATCCTCATATTGTGATGTTGTTCGTTTGCTGTCCAAACAAAGTCAATCCTATTAAAATCTAAGTGGATCGTAAGGAGAAATCCCCAGGATGCTACAGCGTTTTCCTTCTGTTCCCATTTCTTTCACAAATTGGCCCAGTGCCATGAACACTGTGGAGAGACAATGAATTTAAAAACAATGCAAAGAAGACTGCAGCACTGAGGGATCTGCTTTTCCTCAAAGGAATTCAGAATGTTCATGATGATGAGAGTATTGTGAAACGTTGTTTTCAGAAAGGAGCATTGACTTATTCTGTGGCTTGGCCAGATAGAGTTACGAGGCCAGAACTAGCCTTGAGTGCTACTGATGTGTGCACGTGCAAACCTGACTCAACTGCAAGTGACGTATGTCATCATCCTCACAGTTAGTCCTGATGGCTCCTGTCAATGTGGTCTGTAGCTATTAAGTTGAGTGTAGGGATAACTGGTTCTTCTTATTTCATGCTTGTAGAAATGGCCCCAATTTTCTTTTCTGTCTGATTAGTTTTAGCATCTGGATTTCTTCTTGTTGTGCTCATTACAGGAGCTGGCTGTCTTTGCCTTTCTCCCTCACATCTGGAATCTAGCCAGAATGCACCAGAACAAGATGCTTCTAACATTTGAACCCTTTTGTAAGCATGCTGATTGCAACTTGGATAACTTCACTTTAATCCAAGGTGGAAGCTTACTGCTGCTTTGGGGGCAAAATATAAATGTCTAAAAATAAAACTGAGGCATAAAAATAGGGCCAAATACTCATTAAGTGCCTCACTTAGCTGAATGCTGAAATTATTTCAACAGTGCTAAATCAAGCCTTTGTGTAGAAGAGGTTTAGTATATATATATTTTTATTCATAGGGCTTTATCTTAGATGATAAGTGGGTTACTGTCATTTGTCATTTTATTCCAAATTCAGGAATTAAATAGTTTCCAGGACTCAATTTTCAGCTCAGGCTGACCTTTGAATCAGAGAGCATGTATTCATGAATCTTTGGGAATGTATGTCGTGGGATGCTGTGGAGAGATTGAAGAAGTAGGAGGAGCAGGAACCAGAGTGTGTAAAGCTTGCTAGGATAGGGCTAAAAAATCTACATCTTGCTGAGTGTGGTGGGAAGCCACTGCAGGGATTTAATTAGGATAATAGAATGACTTATATGTTTTAAAAATACAGCTCTTGACAATGGTGTTGATGGTGGGTTCTAAGGAGGCAAGAGCAGAAAACCGTTACCAGCCAGATGTCTATTTTTAGATACCCATGTAAGAGATGACAGTAGCCCTGGAGCAATGTGGTGACAGTGAAGTGGGAAAGAAGTGGAAAGTACATTAACAGATTAGATATGGGGCATGTAGGAATGGAAAAATCAAGGTTAGTTTTCTAGCCTGAACTGGAAAAAGTGGCCCCATTTATGTTGATGAAGACTGAGGTCCCGTTATCTTGCTTTGTTTGGGACGGGGCACAGAAAAATGGACAAGGAAAGGAAACAGAAATTTGGGCTCTTGTTAACTTCATGGTGTGGTAGGACCATACGAGCCAAATGAGCAGCAGAACACATGCCCTCAAAATAGGACCTGGAGGATTTTGAGAATCCTTGGCTTATAGATGCCGTACGGAAGAACTCATCCAGGGAGAAAGTAGGAAGAAAGTAGTGGGACTGTGAACATCACATGTTTGTGAACAGGGCAAGCAGGAGAGAACCAAACCAGGAATAAGGAAGAACACAGTGAAAAGGGAAAACTTGAGGAATGCAGCGTCTGAAATGAAAAGCAGAAGTTAGCAGCCGGGTGTGCTGAGCACCCCTGTGAGGTGAGGACGACAGATGGTGTCAGTGTTTTTAGCAATAAGAGATTCTTGGTGACAGTGAGGGCGGATTTTGCTATGTCATGCAAATAAGAGCCTTCAATGGATCGAGCGAAGATTGTAAAGAGGAGAATGGGGAAAATCGTTTTTAGAATAATAGAGCCTAAGAATAGGTAGAGAGAAAAATCAAGAGTCAAAGGGGGATCTGAGTGTTTTTCTCATTTTCTTAAGATGTGCAATATTGGAGAATTTGTAGTTACGGGACTGATGTAGCAGAGAGAAAGTGATGATAAAGTGAGAGAGGGTATCATTGCAGAGACATATTTCCTGAGTTCAAAAATGATCTTTCTGGGCTCCCTTCTGTCCCTCTCAGACAGAAGCTTTCTTTCAATACATTCTTCTTACTCTTAAAAAAATGTTGTGTGGGATGCAGATCTCAGTGAAGGGTTTGGCCTTGGATAAGAGCAGGACAAGAGACATAAAGAGCGGATACCTCTGGTATTAGGCTGGTTGAACTGTGTTAGGATGATGAAGCAACCTTCATGACTAATCAAACTAATGAAGCAAGACTATCAGCGCCAAGCGAAATGGAGAAGGGGGATGACGGCAGTTGCAAGAGAAAGCAGGAAACGCGGGCACCCTCATGAACAGGGGCAACGTAAAGCCGTGTAAAAGCGGTCAGCGCCAAGGAATGTCCCAAAGTTACATTGAACAAGGTGGATTTCACTTGAGTTTTGCTTGGAAAGAGGCTGAGATCAAATTTTAGTTTTTTAAATGGCCCATAAAAATCAAAAGTATTATTGAATGTTTACATATTTTCAGAGTAGAAAAATGAGTTTATCAGTTACTTGTAATCTCTTTCAGAAATAATCATTGTAACACGTATCATTTCATCTACTATATATGATAGTGCATTTACAGGAAGAGATACAAAAAGTATTTTGATAACATACTATTGTACAATAATTTTCACTTTATCAAATATTTTACCTATTGCTATTAAATGGAAGGAAGCTAGTGAGCAGTAACTTTTCTCTATTTATATTTAATTTGTTTTGATTATCTCCAATATTTATATAGGTATATCTGTAAGAAAAAAGTACAGTCTTGTTGAAAAGATCATCTCTTAAGATTGTACCTTTAATTATTTTCTTCTGATATTTAAAATGTAAGAATAAACCTATGAATTATTAGCCTACAGGTTTTCTTTTGACGAAGGAGTCTAGTCTTACCTTTTAGGATATTTTAAACATTCTACAATCTCACATCACACATTGAATTTAGAACATATTTTTTCAGTAGTAGAACTGCCAAGTGATTTCTTTAAAACATTCTTTTAGGGATTTTTTCAAACACATTATATTGTATTCTTTTAAAAAGCTATTTCTTGAAGAGTAATAATTAACTATAATCCCATCATCCAAAAAACCCATTATATTTTACCTGTAACTACGTTGTATTTTTTCTGTTTTGCCATATTTATTCTCTGTCTCCCTCTTTCTCTTCCTTCCTTTGTTTTCTCCCTCTTCCCCTCCTCCTCTCTCTCCCTCCTCCTTTCCTCTCCCTCTGTCTCTGCCTCACTCTCTTATTTTTGAAAGCTTTTTGTAAACCATGACCTTAGTGTCTGCACTAGTGCTGTGTATTTATGGATATGTTTCAAAGTTTCAGTTTTTTAAATATTTTATGTGTGATTATAAATAAAACCATAGCTAACATCACTGGCACTTGAATTAATTTTTGGTATATTCTACTAGAAAAGCAATATACGTCCATTGTAGAATGCTTTATGAATAATAAAGACTAGGATCCAGAGAGCCACTGGTAAGTAAATGTCAAATCCATTCATTCAATAGCCATTTTTATGCACCTATCATACGGCAGGCGCTGTTCCAGATGTGAAAGCTGCTCTTCCAAGTTAACATCCTAGTGCACATTTGGTGATAGATCCTATTAGCGTTCTATATGAAAAAATGTGTGTTCCGCTGCAAAATGGAGTGTGGTATTTAAAATTGTACTGGTTTGATTTTGCTCCTATAACAAGTTAAGAACTTCCATACCATTGAATTTTTACAATACCATGTTAATGACTACAGAATAATTATTTGTGCGAATGTACAATAGCTTAATCTCATGGACTCAGACACTATAATTCTTTTCCAGTTCCTTCTTCATTTAAAATCCATAATGTGAATTCTCTGCTTCACTTTGACAGCATACTATGACCTTCATAAGACATGAAGGCACAGGTGGTGTTGTCTTTCCTCCTCACTCTCCTCCAGTCTCTCTGTGGATTTCAAGGTAATTTCTTTCATAATGCAAGAGTTAGTTATTTGTATCATGAGATAGGCACAAGAGCATAAAATACAAAGTGGCTACAGATAGCACAGTCACTATCCGAAATGCTCCAAAATCCAGAAATTTTTGAGTGCTAACATGATGGTCCCAGTGGAAAATTCCACACCTGAGCTCATATGACAGATCAATCAAAACGCAAAAGCATTGAAAATATTGTGTAAAGTTACCTTCAGACCATTTGTATAAGGTGCTTATGAAACATAAGTGATTTTATGCCTAGATTAGACTTGGGTCACATCCTCGAGTATGTATAAAACACAAAACACTTCTAGTTCCAATCATTTCAGATAAGAAAGGCCTAGCTCTATTTCTCTGTAGCCAAAGCATTGTGGATTTTCCTAAGTGATCAGTTCATGAGAAACATGGAACAGGCTAGAAGTCTGCACAAAGATTAGAAACTATATTTTCTTCTGTTCATTCTGATTAAGGGTCTTTATATTTTCTTATCTGCTGTGAGAAATAAAATCACAAAGAAAGGCAAGTTTAATTTTTTAAGTGGAAACTTGGTATCTAGCACCTAATGGAAGATATTATCACCTTTGCTAAATCCTGTGATAGGCATTTTTAATTATCCAAAGGAATATTAGAGGGGTATGGTAGACAGTTAGGGAGGTTGATAGTCACTGCTTTCTTTCTCATCTTTCCATGTATTCTTCTCATTGTAATGCACATCTTTTTAGATCTCTGTGGAGAAACCAAATCTCTCTAAGGAAGGGAGAAGTGACATGGAAGGGTTGAAGGGGCCCAGAAAGAGTGAGCAGAGGAAAAAGATGGTAGCAGAACAACATAAGTACCTATTCTTCCATCCGGGATGCTCTTGGCCAAGATCCAAGGGAGTCTATTCATTTTTTTATATAAAATAAGGCACTTTCCCATTTTAATTTCTTAGAGTCCAAGGAGAAACAAAATATCTACTTAAACTGTTTTCTGAATTGGTCAAACAAACTAGATGTTGTTTTCCATGATGTGAAATGACCAGGTATGTTTTCCTTGCAAAAACCTTAATCATGTTGAATTCACTTGTTTTTGGAAATTAACTTCTAAAATTGACAGTAAAACAGTAAAAGCACTTAAATCAAGAGGATCTGATTCCACATTTCTACCCAGAATATTTTTTTAACTCTTGCTTTCATTGACTCATAGGATATCAGGTGAGTGGTCCCAAATTTATTTCTTCTTTTGGGATTCTCCTGTCCGTATACTCCCCTGCTTTAGACTAGCATCTAGATATTTCTAAAAGACTACTGAACCTAGCATTTTTCAACATATATTTCCTAACCAAATATTTTGTGACCCAGGCAAGCTAAGTTTGTCGTTCTTTTGGGGCCTTTTGGCTACAGCTAATTGGACAAACTAGTTATTTTTATAATAGGTGTAAAATGAACATGCTCTACAATTGAACTAACAGGAGTTTTTAATATACATATTTTCCAGTACTTCAGCATGCCAGGATCAGGAGAGAGAGAAGACTACTGATTAAGTGGTAGCAAGCTACAGTACCTGTTCTTTGGACTGTTGTCAGTTCTCACAGTCGCATTGAATCCAACAGATACTCAGTTAAAATGGAAGAAACGCAAATACAGAGCTTTATGGCATCTTATCCAATAACCAGAAAGCCCGATCTGTTAATGAACAGACTGCTCAGCTAAGCTGGTTCCTTTAGATAACTGTATATAATCCTCTATAAGCACCCATCACTAATTCTCTTCATAACATCTCTGCTGTTGATTTTAGGTACTTCCTTTTCAGTTTTCTTCAATCACCTTAGAAGTACGAATGACGAGATTGTCGTTGGAAGGTACGATGAAGATATAATTCTCCCTTGCTCATTCGAGAATGAGCCTGATGTTGTAATCCACTGGAAGAATCAAGATAACTACAATGTTCACAGTTACTACAAAGGCCGTGACCATTTGGAAAACCAAGATCCTAAATTCACAAACAGGACATCTCTCTTCTATAGCAAGATTCAAAACGGGAATGCCTCTCTATATTTCAGAAGATTAAGTCTTCTGGATGAAGGAATTTACATCTGCTATGTGGGAACAGCAGCTAGACAGAGCACAAAGAAAGTGGTGCTAAAGGTGGGAGGTGAGTGTTCATGTAAGATTTCACAAGACTTCGGGATGACATTCAATAAATAAGTCAATTCCCGCAAATCTAGTTTGTTTTCCACACACACTATCTCATAGCATGACTATAATAAATATAGCCTTGACTGTTATTCATGCATTTCCAGTGTATTTTATTACAAAAAGTATTGTGATGAGTATCTTCATTGTTATATTTAACACTAGGAAATTATATGAAATAAAATTACCAGAAGTAGGATTTTAATATGTTAATGACACCAGAAGCATCATAATATCCATTTTTCTTTTAGTTCAGTCAGCACTAAATATTATGGATCTTAAATTTCTGCCAATATAACTAAAAATACTAAATTTTTATTTAAATTGCTTCTTTCTATAGTAAAATGAAGTTATTATTTAATTACATACTTTCTTCATCTCTAAAGCAACTATATATTTTTGTGCTATGTATAGTCATTATATTAGCTGCTGCCAAATTTTATGGTAACATTGAATCAAACAGCCATTCAGTTAAATTTTGATATAGCTCAGTGGCAAAGTGCCTGCCTGACAAGCATAAGGTCCTGAGTTTGATTCCTGGTACCAAAAAAAAAGTAGTTGGAACACAGCTTCGTGGCTTATTTCTAATATTCAAAGTACTAGATTCTTGATGATGTGGTCCATTAATGATTGGGCTCCTGATCACAAATACACAAGTATATTGGAGGCATAGTATAAGATATTGTGCTTTATTTTGTACCATTTTAGAGATGTGCTTTTTATAAATTGAAGGTCTGTGGCAACCTTGTGTTGATGAAGTCTGTAGCTACCTTTTTTTCAACAGCATGTGTTCACTTCATGTTTCATTGGCATTTGGTAATTTTCACAGTATTTCCAACCTTTCCATTATTAATATATTTGTTATTGTGGTCTATTAGAAGTGATATTTGAAGTTTATAATTGCTTTGAGGTGCTACAAATCCCGTTCATGCAAAACAGTGAATTTAGTACATAAGTTTCTGATTACTCCACCCACTAGCTGGTCCCATGTCTCTCTCCCTCTTGGACCTCCCCATTCCCTGTGACACAGTGATCTTAAGATTATGTGAAATGATAGTTCTACAATGAGCTACAAGTGTTCAAGTGAAAGGAAGAGTGCTATGGCTCCCATAAGTCTTTAGCTACAAGTCACTAGTGAGAAAACACTTTAGGAAGTGATACAGCCCAAAAGCTAGACCCTTTTGCCAAAGAACTAAATACAAAGAAAAACTTCTCAAGGCAAATGAAAGGTGCTATTGCAATGAACACATGAATGATAAGAAAGCAAACCTGCCTTACTGTTGATATGGAGAAAGTTTGGGTGGTCTAGATAGAAGGTTAAGCTAGCTACAACATTCCCTTAAGTTACAGACTCACCTGGAGCAAAGCCTAACTCTCTTCAGTTTTATGAAGGCTGAGAGAGATGAAGAGGCTGCACGCGAAGATTTTGAAGGTAGCACAGATTATTCATGAAGTTTAGGGAAGAATCTGTCTTCATGACATAAAAGTGCAGAGGGAAGAAGCAAGTACTGATGCAGAAACTACAGCAAGTTATCTAGGAGACCTAGCTAAGATAAAAGATGAAGGTGGTACACTTAACACATTTTCAGTGTAAGTGAAACAATCTAGTATTGGAAGAAGATGCCACTTAAGACTTTCACAGCTGGGAGGAGAAGTTAATGTCTGGCTTCAAAGCTTCACAGGATAGACATTCTCTTGTTAGGTACTAATGTAGCTGAGCACTTAAAGTTGAAGTCAATGCCCACATACTGTTCCAAAAATTCTAGGACCTTAAACTTTGTACTAAATCTACTTTTCCTATGCTCTCTTCCTATGCTCTATAAATGGAATAACCAAATCAGGACGACAGTACATTTCTTTATAGGGTGTACTGAATATTTAAAGCTCAATATTGAGTAGTACTGCTTAGAGGAAAAGTTAAAAAAAGATTCCTTTGAAAACATTACCGCTTATCAACAATGCGCCTAGTTACCAGTGATCTCTGAGGGAGCTGTCCAGCGAGATTAACATTGTATGCCTGCTAGCACAACACCCACTTGGCAGCCCATGAATCAAGGAGAAATTTAAACTTTCAAATCTTATTATCAAAGGAATTTATATCATAAGGCTATAGCTGCCATAGACGGCAATTCCTCTAACATGATCATTTCCTCTGGGAAAATTAAATAGAAAAGATCTGTAAAGGAGTCACCATTCTAGATGCCATTGCACGTATGGCCAGGTACAGTGGAGCATGCTTTTAGTTCCAGGTACTTGGGAGGCCAAGGCGGGTAAGTGATAAGTTCGAGCCTGGCCTGGGCAACTGAGCACAAAAAGAGATGAGGTACAGCTCAGTGTGGAATGCTGGCTTCAATCTCCAGTGCTTCTGAGAGGAGCCCAATATAGCAACATTAGTAGGAGTTTGAAGGAAGTTAGTTTCCATCCTATGGATGACATCGAGGGCTCAAGACTTCAGTGGAAGAAGTAAGTGCAGATTGGAGGAAACAGGAAGGGAACCAGAGTTTTAATGGAAGCTGAAGTTGTGAGCCAATTGATGCATCTCATGATAAAACTTTAATGAATGAGGAGTTACTTCTCATGCATGAGAAAGGAAAGTGGTTTCTTTAAATGGAATCAACCGGTGAAGATGCTACTGGCGTGACAACAAAGGACAGCATTACAGAGACTTAGCTGATAAAGCAGCAGCAAGGTTTGAGGAGACTGACACCAAATTTGCAAGTTCTACTGTGGGTAAAATGCTATCAAACTGCATCAGAAAAACGTTTCATGAGAGGAAGACTTAACTGATGCAGCAGACTTTACTGTTGTTTTATTTTAAGAAATAACTACATTCTTCCAGTGAAGGTGTTTGGCCCCTTTGTCAAAGAGAAGGTAGCTGAGTGTGCTTGCAGTTGTTTCTGCACCTTCTAGTCTATTCCATTGATCCTTGGGTCTAGTTTTTTGCCTGTTTTTATCACTGTAGCTTTGTAATATAATTTCAAGTTGGAGATTGTGATGCCCGCTGCCTTGCCTTTGTTGCCCAGGCTTGCCTTTGCTATTCTAGATCTCTTTTGATTCCAAATGAAGTTTAAGAATGTTTTTTCCAGTTCTGTGGGGTGAACTATTGATGTTTTGATTGGAATTGCATTAAATCTGTATAACAATTTAGGGAGTATGACCATTATCACTACATTAGTTCTTCCCAATGAAGAGCAAGGAATATCTTTCCATTTTCTGATATCCTCTTTAATCTCTTTCTTTAGAGCATTGTAATTTTCAATGGATAGACCTTCTTCCTTTGTTAGATTTATTCTTAAGTATTCTACTTTTTGGAATGCTATTGTAAAGTGTGTTTCCCTAATTTCTCTTACAATGAGTTTGTTGTTTGTGTACAGGAATGCTATTAATTTTTGAGTGTTGATTTTATATCCAGCTACATGACTGAATTTGGTTAGTAAATGTAGAAGGCTTTTGGTGGAGTTTATTTGGTCTCCCATGTAGAGCACATGTCATCTGCAAATCATGACAATTGAACTTCTTCCTTTCCTGTATTTATTCCTTTCATTTCTTTATCTTGTTTAATTGTTCTGGTTAATGTTCTCCAGAACTATATTGAACAGGAGTGGTGATAGCAGACATCTTTGCCTTGTTCCTGATTTTAGAGTGAAAACTTTCAGTTTTTGACCATTTAATATGTACCACAGTGATATATGCACGTTCATATTTATAGCAGTATAATTTGTGATACCTAAATCTTGGAAACAGTCCAAATGTCCATCAATCAATGAGTGGATAAACATATGGTTTTTTATACAATGCAGTACTACTCCGTCATAAACAAAGATCAGCTTAAGACATTTCTGGGTAAATGGATGCATCTTGAGTGCATACTCTGAAGTGAAATAAGTTGGACACACATATATCTGTATTAAATTTTTTGCTGGTGTGAGAATATAAAAGTGTAAATAAGGACAAAAATGTATAATACATATTGTGAAATAGGAAGAGAATGTTGAAATAGGAAGAAGAACTAGGCAGGAGAGACGGGGAAAGGAAGGAAGGGAAGAGAAAAAAAATAAAAGAAGAAAAAAGGAAGCAAAGCTTTTGTAAATAAGGAGGGGAAGAGGGGTTGAACAGAGAAGAAAGGGAAAAAGGAAGCATCGAGTAATATGTACAGGTACAAATTCCCTACGATGAATGTGATCATTGTGTATACATAAAATATACCAGTATACTTAATTAAAAAAGAGATAATTACAATCAACCCAACCTTCAGCATCCATCACCCTGACCATTCAACACCCATCAAGGTAGAGATGAGACCCTGCACAAGCTTGCCAATGGCTCAGACAATTGTTAGCCATTTCTAACAGTATTTCTAAATTAAGTGCATGCATTGTTTTTGAGACCTGCTATTGTACACTTAAAGAGACATCACATGAAATAGTTTTTATATGCCCTGGGACATGAAAAAAAATTATAAGATTTGCTTTATTGCTATATTCAGTGGACCTGAACTTGCAATATCATGTCTCCAAGGTATGCCTGAATAGGTTATATTTGGGGATATATTTTCTGATGGATTGTTCTAACTCACCCTTGTTCTTTCTCCCTTTGCTTGATATCTTGGAACTGCTTGACATCTGGACTCAGAATTCCAGAATCATACATAAGCAGAGACTCAAATAGGCTGTTGGTGTCTGGAGTTCGGGGATTCCCATGAACTCTAGTTTATAGACTTTGACCACATTTTTTTCTTGCTCGGGGGATAAGGTCAGGAGATTTGTTAGCTAAGTTTCTAGGAAATAGAGATTGTTATCCATGCAGGCTCTTTTTCATCTTTCTGGAATAATGACATATATCTGAAACCTTTATGGAAGTTTTATTTTGTATGGTTTTCTTTTCAGTACCTACCAAGTTTTGCTCATAAATCTTAACTTTTCAGTTTATAAGCATTAAGAAATATTCTGCACAGATGGCCCAGGAGGAAACTAAGGGTGACCGGTGTCCCCGTGTCTCTCTCTCCTGCCTAGCCTTCCTCACTCCTGCTATGAAGTACGAGAAGAGAAACACAAGCAGTTTCCTGGTGTGCAGTGTGCTCAGCGTTTATCCTCGTCCACACATCACATGGAAAGCGGACTCTGCATTTGTCCCTGGAAGCATAACAGAAGAAACGGGGTACTTGGGCCCTTTTTATGTTAGCAGTACTCTGAATATCACAGGATCAAATTCATCTTATGAATGTGTGATTAAAAATCCATTGCTGAAGCAAACATGGACCGGGCAGTGGACACAAGCAGGTAGGCTCCATGGGACTTCCTGAGCTCTGCGCTGTGTCAGAGGGCCAGGCTCCTGGGAAGCAAATCCACAGGAAAGAGAAAGAAGAAGAAAACAATTCATCTTGAGGCAATGTTCATTCTTACTGGCTACATTATCTTAGGCAATCATTTTCAGTCCTCAGCACTGTTTCTTCTTTGAGGTGGAAGTATCCTTAACTTGGTAGTTGTTTATGATTTGAATAAAAATATTTGTGAAATGGAAAGCAGCAAATCTATTCATGAATATTATTATATTTCTCCACGGTTCAACCTCCAAGTAGGATTTTATACCTGTATTGCCCTTTAGAGAGATCAAAGGAGAAAGAAAAGTTTCTTAGCGGGTTGAAGAATTAATTATTGTTATTATTTGTGGTTTAGCCTCTTAACATTGCATCGGTCCATTAATCTTTATCCAACACTTTTATCACAGCATAATCAGATTTTTATCCTCCTCCTTTTCTAATTATTTTAAAAGGCTAAACTTTGATCAATCTCTATCCACAAACTTCTCTTTAAGAAACTGTCAAGGGAAAGAAAAATTAATTGGATACCTTTTTATCCAATTCTAAGGCTTTATACTGATTAAAAGCATGGCAAAATTTTCTGTAACTCTTTCTTTTATGGAGGAAGTAGAAGTTAGCTGTTCCTTTTAGCCTTACCCATTCCAGGATTTCATATTCTCAAAATGTTCACCAACAAAATACTGAAATTGTGACCACGTTTATATGATTCCAGGATTAAAGAACTCAAATACTCACCTGCTACCAGCCAGGCAGCAATGAAAACATAAAAAAGGGTTCAAATTTTAACATCAAATAGTAAATATTTTCTCTGGAGAATAATTATTCCCATGTTCCTTTAGAATTAAGTACCCTGAAGCAACAATGATTCCTTAAATTCAGTACTCTTGTCTTACTGAGACTCTAATATTTTTCAAGATTTGTCATGCTCAGATGGTGAACTTCAGAACAGAGATGCTTAGGCATTTCTGGATCCACAGCATGTCATACAAGCATGTAAAGATAAGACTGAACTGGGAATGTAACATGCAAAGGGAGTGATTAATGGGGGGGTGGTTATCAAATATATACCTAAGGTGTCGTGCAGTCAGAATTGTAGTAGTAAAAGATTCCAGGAGAATATCAGCACTCCAGGTACAAAGCACAAAAGCACCAAGGAGTGAAATATTCTGGGATTTATGGAAATCCAAATGATTGGGGGTAAAACTTGAAAAGTCAAGACTTAAACCTAGAGAGAGAGGCAAAAAACAAATGAAATATTTTCTATACCTTTCTAAAGAAATTGAAATTATCCTGAGGCAAAGGAGGATTTGAAACATCAGAGAGAGCCTAGATTTGCATCTTAGGTATTTCGCTGTGATCCCTCTCTTCTGCAGGTACACTGGAGGCAGGAGGTTTAGGGCAGGGATGGCGAACCTTTCGGAGCTTTCAATGATACAAACAGCGTGTTGCGGCACGTGTGCCGTAAGTTCACCACCACTGGTCTAGGGCCAGGGAGAACAGTCTATGTCTGTCCATAGAATTCAGCCTGCAGAGACGCAGAACAGGAATGACAAGTTGGAGCTGGAGCTAGAGAGCCTCGCTAATAATACCCCACAGAGTCCCTCTTCTGAAAGAGCTCCACTGAGACATAACCTGCCCATAGTTAGAAATATACTATCTATGTGCAGGAAAGAGAATTGGCCTAGAGAGGTATGAAGTGGTCAAGACCATAAAAATTAAAGGAAGCACTAAGGGCTGGGTAGAGTTACCTGAGGGGAGTCCTGGGGAACAGGAGCATTTGGGATGGGGTCAACAGGAGGTTAGAAGTCTAGTAGCAGGTAGCAACATTCCTGGGTGCTTATTGTCAGGATGTGGATGTTAATACCAAGATATATCACCTCCCTAGCTGGCCCAGATTTATCTATTTTTGAAAGACTTTAATTTTGGGGGTGGGGAAATCTTTAAAATAGGGCCAATAAAGTTTTTTTTAATGAAACTCTTCAGTACAGACATTTAATTGCTTTCAAATGATATTTCCAAAGATATCAGTATTGCAGTATTCATTCCCTACTAAATGTAACTTAAAAAATTCATTTGACAATTTTATCTCCCTTGATGTTTCCTTTTCTGTTCTGTTGTTAGGTGACCTTTGTAAAAGACAAAGTGAATACGTTTCGCTCTCATGTCAAGGAATAAGAAATTTTTCTCTACAAAATGAAGACTTCATAGTCACTTGGTCCAGAATGAAAAGTGAAATCTCTTCCATCTTGGGTTGCTATATGAGCTCCTCACAAATTCCAGTAATCAATGAACCCAGATTCTCTTGGAACAAAGAGCTGCAAAACCAGAATGATTTCTCTATGACTTTGACCGATCTTCATCTTTCAGACAGTGGGGAATATCTGTGCAATATTTCTTCAAGAAAATATACTCTGCTCACGGTCCACTCACTGCATATAGGTAAGTTGAAGGTAGGTTAAATGAAACATTTTGGCTATAACAGTAAAAAAAAAAGGCAGAACCTTTTGTATATCATACAAACTGTTAGGTTAGCTTTTAGAGAATATTTCAGTTCTTCTTAAAATGTCATCAATTTCTGGGCAAGATTATAGAAAACCCTCCCTCCTTGGATTACACAAAAAGTTTATTGAAAAAATACTCCCATGAGGTTTCCTTTTATTGGTTTCAGGACTTCAGAAATTGTCTTGGCGACCGTGGGCCAAGTATATTCAACCTCTGTTCAGGGCTATTCATAATATATGCCTTAAAGCCCAGGTTTTGGAGCTGAGACTGTAAACACAGTGGGAAGTTCTAAATGGGGCCCCACTGGCGGCTGAGAAAACATGGCATTGTGCATTAATTTGGTGGAAATAATAACCACCTGACATATGAAACACTGTGTATGCTCAATTCAGTTTACTTTTTAAGCCTCGATAGTTAACTGCTGAAAATTTATTATTTAAAGTACTTCTGGTTCATTAACCTAAGAGTCAGGGTAGATGTACTGTGGAGTTGGCTTCCTAGGTGATCTGAGGGATCCCCCCATCCTTCATCTATCAATTTGATATAGGGGCGATGGTAGCTTTCTGCTGTTAATACAGGCTGTTTGTATGAGTGGACTTTGTAAGGTTTTAGAAATTTTTAACATTCCAGCTGCAAAAATGAGGAGGAATAACGCAGCTCTTTGGAGGCTTAGCTATTCTATATAGTAAGATTGGAAGTAAGAGCACAGAGCTGTCATTGGGTTACGTGGTCTTACAAAAAAAAGCTTCTAGACACTAAGTTGTAATACTTCCTTGTAGAGCTGCCACTTTGACAGTATAGAATGAAAAAATAGGATGCATTTGAAACTTCTATCTCTCTCTAAAATAAGAGTGTCAGTTTTATGTAAAATGCAGTTGAGCCTGCGTTCTATTTTTAAAAGTGTTGCCTCATGTTGGATTCATTCTGGAGTATGGAAAAATAATCAGGAAGAATCTGTCTGAAGACCACATATGGCCCCTGTTCCTAACCAGAGATGTGATTTCTAGTTCACACGAAGTGAGGCATCAGGATTATCCTTTCTCTGACAGGCTTTACAGAACCTCTCATTCCCAAGTTAACCCTGGCCAGTGAGGATGGGGGAGGCAGCCACAGTCCCCCAAGGAGAGGCCTGGAGCAGGAACCACCCAGACGGAGATGGGAAAATGGCAAAGAGTTGTGGTATCCTACACATTAGCTTTCAAGGAAATTTCGTTTTCAAGGGGCTGGGGACATAGATCAGTGGTAGAGTATTTGTCTACCATGCTGAAAGTCTTAGGTTCAATTCTTAGTGCCACAAACAACCCCTCAAAACAAAACAAAATAAAACAAAAAGAAAATCAGTTTTCTATTCTCTACTGTAATTTTTTCCATTTTCTGCCTTGTTTGGGAGATGCCAGAACATCTGAAAAGAAGGTCCAGATTTGGGGGGGAGTGCTTATGAATCTTAGAGTCTAGATCTGCCCCAAAGAGCTGCACCAAATTAAACGAAATAAATAATCCTTTCTAAATTGTACTGCTGAATGAGGATGTGACCTTGGGCAAACCCCTGTAAGATGAGGGAAGTAAGGGTCATAGGTAAAATGAGAAATAGCAGTATGTGCTTTACAGGTTTTATAGGATTTTGTTGGGAGGAAATGTGTATGAGAACATAGAGAAAGCCTAGCCTTTCTACTTCACCTCTCCTTCTTTATAAAAATATAGAAATTGGAATGTCTCAAATAGGTTAGATAATGTTTTGTTGCATGTGAAAGATTATTTACTTTATTAAGTAATAACAGTATGTTTATAAAGATCGATGTCTATCATGTAACAGAGGTATTCATTTTAAAGGAAAACTCTTCAGCATTTTTCCACCCTAAACTGGCATTTGTGCTCTAATACTTTCTATTACTCAGCAGGTGGAGATAATAAGATTAGCAGTGTTATAACTTTAGTAACCTAAAGTTCCCCAATTCCTGGCTTCAGGAATCCTTTTAATATTAATTACAATTGTACTTAACTTTTTTGACCAATTTTACATGCTGACATCTGGTAATCTGAACAACTGCTTTGAAGATAACAATATGCAAGATAACAACCATTACTGATTTCCTACCATCTTGTTTTGAAACTCCATATCATTTTTAATTTTTTTTCTTATTTTGTATGCTCTTCATAATAAAGCAATTACAATTCTGCTTAAGACCAGAATTCTAGAGGTTCAGATTCCTCTAGTTTTTCCTGAGAATCTGCAAGCACTGTCTATTAATCCAGAGGCCATCTGTTGCTTCTACTGTTACCTCTGAACTTCATGTCACTGTCTCCCTAGAACACTGTCTCCTCCACACCAAGGGTGGATGGCACCCTTCTCTCATGGGCCCTGAGCCAACGATAGTTTGCAGTTCCAATTATCCTTTGTAAAAAATGTGCTAATTCCCTGATTATAATATAAAATAGAAATTTCAAATCCATAACCACCTCACTGCTGTCCACGTTTTTAGACTCCTTGCTCTTTCAACCATCACCTCCATCCAACCCTAAATTGGTTCATGTCACACTGTCTGCAGGTTTCCCATAACAGACACTGAGACTGGGGAAGTCTTTATCCTTGTGGCAAATTCTCCCATTACCTTGGAGTTTTGACTTTATCTTTAAAGTGCCAATTTATTAAGTACAGAATTTTCTTATGAATTCTGCCTCCCATCTGGAATGCAAAAATAATTAATGTTAAAAATAGTGAACATAAACCACCTCCACCCATCTATTCCCACCCTTCTCTTTTCTTATTTGGTAAATTTTCTTCCAGTCCACAAACTTTCTTTATTTTGTGTAGAACCAAGCCAAGGAAAATCTTCCTGGATAATACCTGCTCTGGTGGCTTTGGGTGTTTGGGCAGTGATCCTGACCTTGATAGTGAACTTCCGTCATAGATGGAGAAGATACCCCGTTTATGGAGGTAATATGGCGACTTTGGCTCCGCCCTGAGTATTGCATGTCCTGCATATCAGAGATGACATTGAAACACATACCCTGCTGATTGCACATACAAATACATCTTACTTTTATGGAGTCATTTTTAAACTTATTCTTTAAAATGCTTTTACATTTTCACTTTAGTATCCTACTAACAAAAATGTATCCTGAGAAAATGATCAAGAGGCTCACCAAGCGTTAACAAGCACATTCACTGCAGCATATTATCATTTCCTTTTTTTTTTTTTACTATTTTCATAAGAGAACTGATTATTTAATTGAAATTTATAGGGAATTTTAAAAACTAATTTTGCAGTACATGTATGATGGGATGATCATCTTTCACTGAAAGATAGCTGGGAAGAAATAAGAAGAAAACTTTAAAAAGTTGTGTTTGATAATCTGACCACGAGTTGTGTTGGTCTCTGTACCTCACCCAGTTGGCTCCTTTGATTCGGGCTTTCTTTTCTCCTGCCCTGAGCTTATTCACATAGCTTGGTGCTTTCCAAAAATGCAGTATTTTTGCAACTCATTTTATTTTAATCCTTGTTAAATTAATTTTTCCTAAATTTTGTGTAACTAACTTGCATTACAGTAATTTAAAATTATACCTTCTGATGCTATGGTCACAATCCTCCCTGCAAACTCCGCATTAATGAACAGCATTTGAGAGATCCAGATGAAATTCAGGTCTAGTTCATCTCCACGTTTTATTTCCACACTGCAGAAAACAGGAACCCAGGAAGTTCACTCAAGTGCTAAGCAGAATTGCAAAGCAGATTTACAAGCACTACCCGAGGCCTCCCACTAACTGGTAGGCCTAAGCCCGCAGAAACTTTCCCTCATTCCAACATCCTCCTGAGAGGCCTTGGGTGTCCTGGGAGGTTGAGGCAGATCCCATGTCTCTTCCATGAATTCCTTGCATTGATATTTTCCTACCACCTGCACTAAAGTTAGAGGATTTTGGTAATAGAGAAACTGAGGCAAGTTGAAAAGGGCCCGATACTGCCCGACAGGTACTTTGATTGTATGGCTACCCCAAATGCCTTGCAGACAATCGCAGCTCACAGCTGCTCTGGGAGATCCTTGCTGTGGCTGGACCAGGCTTCAGTCATGGACCCTTCCCAGATGACTGTACCCTGGAGCCTCTCTGGATGATTCTGTCCCTCTGCAGCCTTCCTCCATCAGATCTGTGAGGTTCCTCTCCCTTACCTGTGATGAAGCAGAAAGTCTGAGGCTGTGTGAGTGAGAGCTCACCATGTTTGCTTTATAAGCAACCTCCCCAGACCCCTTTAATGGGTTTGGCTGTTGTGCTGTTCCCACATAGGCTGCAGCATAAATCCTAGCAAAGTCTCTTGTAGATAGTATATTCTGACCTATTCACACTTGTATCTGGAGTCGAGCGTGCTGATCCGGAACACCAGGAGCTGGTAACATCAGCTGGTGCTGAAAGAAGCCAGCAGCCAGGGCCGGTAACACTGAAGGCCACTGGGAACTGAGAATGACAGAAGGCAACAAAGAATAGCTGGCAGTCACCATCTCTGGTAACCGGAGAGTTCCCAAGACCTACTGTTGGGTCCGAGTGGCAAGGAGATACACTAACACTAAGAGAGCTGAACAGCTGCTGGCATTTTGTATGAATTGAGCAAGAACCCTGTGGGAAACCAATATGGGGACTCTGTCCTAGAGGGCCTTCTAAAGGAGGGCAGACAATGGTTATAGGCCTGGGCAGGCTCCAGAACCAGCCCTTTTTGACTTTGGTCTTTTCTGTGGTTAGGAACCCTGGCCAGTGACAAAATCATGAGAGAATTAGGTTCCAACAGCAGCATCAGTTCTACGCGAATAGGCAGGCTGCTCTTCTCCCTTGCTATTCCGGTCCCTTGGCTGGCCAGAAGTAATCACAGGAGGTAGATCACAGGCAGTTTAGCTTGTCCCACCCCCCAGAATGCCTGACCTATTATAATGATAATCCTAATGTAATGATGGTACTAGATTCAAGTTATGGGAGAGGGGCTACCACACACTGCCCAACTGCACAGTTTCTATATTGGAATTCTCCACAGTCAAGTCTCAGTGGGAAACATAGTGCACAGTTAAAACGACAAAATGAGCACAGGAGAGCAAGCAAGGATGTGCCGGAGGAGGGGGTGGGTAGTAGTTCCCAAAACCTGGAGGGAGGGAGTCACGTGAAATCACTGATTTGTAGGAGAGTGACTTCAGCCAAAGGGCACAGCCAGACCAAGGCCACTTTTCAGTGGAGGAGCTTGGAGCATAAATACTTTTCTCTCTCTCTGATCTTCAACCCATTTAGGGGCCAAAGGAACAGATGTCCTGCTGATAGAGGCCAACCTAGCAAGCTGCTTGTCAGAAAGCAAATAAATTACGGTTCTGGAGGGGCAGTCAGTAGACATAGGCAAATATTGTTAGGATACTGACTAGTTAATAAAACCTCCATGAAAAACATATAGAGTCGTTGTATAAGTGCCACAAAACCTGGCCTACCTCTAGGTCCCTGGCTGCAGCTTCATATGATACATATGGTTTTTTTAGGATGCTCTTTTTTATAATTTTAAAATGTCCTGAATCCAGGATACACACAAAAGACCCTAATTTCAATGTGTATAATATATTTTGCTCATATCCATTGAAACCCTTCTCCAAAATGTAAAGCTGGCAGAGGGCAGGGCAGCAAGGAGGGTAAAGATGAGGAAAAAGGTGTCATGTCCACATATAGGTCTGCCAAAGTAAAACACCTTAACCTGTATAACCAATAAAGAAGAGTAAAACTAAAGGAGGCAGCAGATTTATCAAGGCCTAGAAGGGGAGCCTTCTTTGAGGTATTTTGCCTCCAATTCCCCAGCCACCACTCTGGGGCCCTCCTTGGCCATGACTTTTCCACTGTTAGCCATGGGTGGATATAAAACCAACAGCTCTAAAATGCCAAGAACTGCTAGTCTGCTCAAACTGGGTTTATTTTCCTTGTTGGAGAACCTGAATCAATCATGAGAATTCACTGCTGCTTCTCCTGACATGTTTCCACACTGAATGCATTTGAATGCTGTTTGTTGGGATGAAAACATGAAAGGGGAAGCAAGGAAGGTATTTCTCATAACGTAATTATACCGAGATAGGAATAAGGGAGAATTTGAACGTTTGCCAAGAGAATATTTTGTGGTTTTTTGTAGAAAACAGGAATATCTACTGATGAAGACTAGCAATGATGAAAATTCAGAAGTAAACGTGGTAAGGTCTCATTTCCTTTATCCAGCCATTTATGGATGTAAAACAATCCAAAAAGGCTACTGAAGTTTTGACTAATTTATGTGATCACCTAAGACTTAGGAAGAAAGCGAGAGGATTACAAGATCATACAGCAGAAAAATAAAGCTAGACTTCTCTCTATGCCTGGAATTAAACAGGTTGTTCTTGCTTAAATAAATGGTTGCTCTTATAGTTTCCTATTGCAGAGAGCATTTCCATATTTAATGGCGCAGTGCTCAGATGTACTTATTTTGTGGTGAAAACACGAAACATGGGATTTTGTTGAAGTACAGGGAAGCACAGATCTGTCAAATGGGGAAAATAAAGCCCTATTTTCTCCCAAGATTGACTGCTGACCTACCATGCTTTTCCAGCCACTTCTAGCTTCCTTGGCAACTGATAATTCATGCAGAAATTATAGTGTGGTCACATATTTCCTTTTTTTGCATATCTTTTATCATTTGTGCATTCCACTAATTAAAATACAAGCAAGGGCCCAAAATGGAGTAAACTTGTTTTTCACTGTTAAAGACTCAAGAACCTCTAGCAAGGAGATTAAAATAGATATGATTTAGATTTTGTAGCTACTTATAAAATAAGGGGCTTATGGATCTTTGATTATATATGCAAGCAATAGCATAAAATTCCCTACACTCCCACCCCTCAAAAATCATCCTTAAACACTTAAGATAAAAAGTTATTCTGACTTGAATGATAGATACTTATAGGTCATTTTCTTGGTTCTAGCCTCTTCAAATAGCCAGCCTGTACAGGAAATGAAGACAGACTGTGATGAGCATCTGTAATATACAATGATGTCATCTCGCCCTTCATTGCAATCCAGGCAATGGCCTCGCAGGCCTTTTACCTCTGCAAAGACTGAACAACTCTCTTTTCCAGTGCTATGATTTGAATGTGTCCTCAAAAATTTGTGTAACAGAAACTCAACTGCCCATGCAACAGTTGGAAGCTGGGCCTAGTAAGAGGTAATAGGTCACAAGGGCCCTCGCTGTGGGAGTAGGATAGCAATTGAAGAATGGTATGTTGCAAAATGGGTTTGGTCCCCTCTCAGCCTTGCCTTCTCTTGCCTTCTACCTTTTGCCATCGGATACAGTGAAAAGATTCTCAACAGAGGCCAACACCTCCATTTTGGATTGCCCAACCTCCAATCCTATAAGAAATAAATTTCTGTTCTTCACAAACTACTCATTGTCAAGTATTCAAGGCATCCAGTATTAGATTCACTGCTCACTCACTACTATATAGGCACCATTACTGACCCTCCCACCCACATTATAAGGATGTGAATTTAATTTAACTTAGAAAATAATTGTCTTATTTATTTACTCCTGTTACAGTAAGTACATGAGAATGCAGTGAGTTTCCACCTAGAACTCGGAGGAATATACTACAAGGAGATGATCCAAAATCTGATTAACTGATGAGGGATAAGAGCAGTAGGAACAGGTGACATCTTAGTGCAAGTATGAAAAGCCAGGGCTTGAAAGCAAGACTACTGATTTGAGGCAGTATACCCCAGGATTATATAAATGGTTATATGAGCATAACCCACAAAATTTAGTATGGTAAGACTCAGGGATCCTGCAAAATAAAACTCTTATTATCTCCCAGAATGTTTAGGGGAAAAGGACCTATCAAGAATTGATATCTGGCTGGGCCTGGTGGTACACACCTGTAATTCCAGCACTCGGGGGGCTCAGGCAAGAGGATTGTTGTGAGTTCGAGACCAGCTTGGGCTACAAAGTGAGCTCAAGGCCAGCCTGAACTGCATAGCAAGACCCTGTCTCAAAAAGACAAAAAACAAAAAAAAAAAAAAGAATTGCTATCTGGAGTGAGGATACTATGATCAAGTGACCCTAGCCATGAAGATAATTTAATGAACTCCTCTCAGTTGGCATATAGCTAATCAGCCCTTTAACAGATGCAGCTCTCCATGTAAATTTAATACATGGAGAGAATAGAGTGCCCAGCTGACTTTATGGTTTCTTTCCCTTACGATTTGTCCTCAATTTATACCAAAAGGTCTAATGTTAATGTCTGTGAATTTGTCAGTATAACCAGACTTTTTGTGACTTAGCCAATCAAAGTAGTGGCCATATAGTTTGTTAAAAATAACTGAACCCTGAAGTGTGACATGACTGCCACCTGGTCCAATTTTCTTTATCAGCTCCCCACTGCTTTATAATCTCATGCTTTCTACATAATTCTGTTAACTCAAGTGTTTGCTAAAATGTTATGACAGATGTTCAAGAAGGGTAAAATGTTTAGGCCTCCAACCTCTAAAGGAGATCTACATGAAGATAATGTTCAAGGGCCTGGCAGCTTTGCCTCCAGCTATTTTGGTTCCTTTTATTTAAATTATGCCCAATAAAAAATAATTTTGCTATAATAATTATGCCCAATAAAAAATAATTTTTCTAAATTAATACTCAATAATACATCAAAATAGAATTTATGTTCCCAAACTGAAGTTTGGGATATTCTGACTTTCTTAAGTATATGGTGAGTGAAGAAGTGATAGCATTCTGATTTCAGATTTGGTAATGTAATAATAGAATGTTTCTAAGCAAAATTTGAAGATATAGATATTTTCTGACTATAAATATTGGGTTATTAAAGGATGATTTCAAATTTAATTTGAGGGAAGCTTCTATTGTTCCAGAAAAAAAGTCTTAGAAAACTCCCCATTAACATCCATGCATGGAAGAACCGATACATCTCAGAGGAAGAAAGGAATGTTGAACTGACAGCATTGTACATGTCCACTACAAATTAAGCACATGTAAACTTCGATGTAATTATCAAAAATGAACACTGCACAAATACCAGTAAAAAAATAAGAGAAGTTATATGTGGAACGGTGAGTGTTTTCTTACTGGGTTGAGACTGATGGTAGGGAGAGTGCTGCTGGTTTGTATGTATGTATATGCAGGATATGTATATGCAGTTAACATGGCTGTTCTACTGTCTTGTATTTCTTTGCTGAAAGAAACTATCAATGAGTCCTTGGTTGATCAGCTTTGTATGCCTATATCTGTTTTCATGAGAAACCACTTTGAAGATATCAATATGTAATACAACAAGCATTGTTAATTCCCTACCACTCTGTTTGTAACTCTGTACTGTCTGTACTGTTCCTTTGCTATTTTGTAAAATGTCAACTGTCTGTTAATATTTTCATCCTTTTATTTTTAAAATAAAAAAATAAATAAAAAATAAATAAATACATCATTTGACTAGGTAGTTATCCCGTCCCCTTTCACCCCCAATGTCAAAACTCTCATTTGGCTCTCTGTGCTTGAGGTGGCTCTGATATTCAGGAAAATCAGCCCTGATCTGTCTGAGATCCCCTGGCTATTTCTGTCCTCTTGGTATCAAGGCTGGCTTTAGCACAGGCACACGTTCAATGTGACAGGAGGAAAGGTATTCCCGAGGGCTCCTGGGAGGGTATTTCTGCTTTTCAAAAGTGAAACAGGGTACCGTGTGAGGAAAGAATGCTCAGAGCCATTGTTTTCCTCCTACACAAAGCAAAATACTGGAAGATCGAAGCCAACAGGTGGAGGATTTTAGGCAAGAAATAACTTGGGGATCTTTGATACTTCTGAGTCCCTCAATTAATCTTAGAGCCACCTGTGTGAGTCAGGGTTGATTGCAGAAGCAGGACCATGAGAATGACAGAGAATAGGATTTAGTAGAAGGCTTCAGCACAGTTGTGGGTTCCTGGCCATGGATCAGCTGCACCAGTGTCAGGAAGAGGAGCTGATACAGAGTGAGGACACTCAGGGCGAAAGGGAATCTATTAGGACAAACCGGAACCTGTTTCTGTCACCGCAGCTTCCCTGGTGATAATGGCTGCCTTGCAGGAGATGCAGCTGCCTTGGAATTGCACACACATGGCCAGCACTCTGAAAACTAGAGGAGATGAAGGAGAGCTATGGGTCCAGGGGTCTGGCTTTCCACAGAGCTGTTTCTGATCTTCCATAGCTCACCATTTTTGGCCTGGTGTAATATTCTTGAGTGATCGCAGGGCTTGAGGCCATATACTGACATTACTAGTATGAATTTAATATCTGCTTCTTATATTTGCCTACCAAATCTGGTGCAAAATCTCTTGTGACCAACTTTAGTCCAAAACTATGTAGAAAGAAATTCTGCCACACACCCCTCCTGCTTGACTGAAACAAGTACAAAGCCTACACACCCTTCATCGGAGGTTTTTATGTGTGACACTTTACCTTGCTGGTTCACATCCATACCAGCCTACCAGTGTGCTGAGTATGAAGATTTTACCTGTAAGTCCAAAGTGCCTAACTATAGCCATATCTATATCATGCTGGTAAAAGAAAATCTTATAAACACTGACTATTCATGGCTAAAAATGTAGACTCACAGATACAGGAAAGAATCAAGCAAAATTAGCTGACTTTTGTGATAATCATTTACCAACATTCCTTGGACATTGTGGAGCATAATTTGAGGATATCTCCTATCAGTCCTCTATTAAGGGGCAATAAGGGTGGGAGAACAAACTTTTATTTTTTTTAACATGGGAATTTAAAAGATTCTTGCATTTATTTGATCTTTCATATGAAATGCTAAAAGGTAGTATACTTGCATTTGAGGATCAAAAACAACTCTATTAACCTTGGAATCAATGATAGCCTCTTCAATTTTTACATTTTTCTAATCACCTTGTTTAAACTGCTTTTCACAGCGTCTGAAGATGTTTTCTAAAATGCTTCTTTCATTGGAAACTTGAGATTTTGGCTATAAAAGGCATCTTCCTTTTCCTCCTGTAGTTCTTGTCTTTCACAGAAGCAACTGCCTATTCTTCATGACCTGGGAACACAGAATGCTGGTTGTGTTCTGTGAAATTCCAGTGACTTTCACCAGCAGAGCTCATATGCAGACTCATGCCAAACCCTTTCCTGAGGTAAGCAGACCTCAGCCAACTCTTCATTAGCGTCAAAGGGAGGCAGGGAATTGAGGTGATTATCTGCGTTACACAAGGAAGAACTAGAAGTCACCAAGAGCATGTTTATCACTGTTTCTGCCTCCCCGCTTCCCTGCCCTGGTGAGGGAGAAGATTCTACAGCTGCATCACCAATTTGTTCCACAGTCCAGACACACAATGCCGTCCGAAAACCTTCCTCTTGTGCTTATGACAGTTGAGGGACTGTCAGGTTTTTCTTCTGTGAATGCCTCCCAGAAGTAATTTCTGCTTCACTCATTTTGTTCATTGTTCGGAAGTAGCTGTGACAAAGTCAGCCTTCTGCAGCTGAATGCAACCTGGCCATGTGGGAGGCATCTACCTGCCCAAGTCCATTATGTGGCTTGCACAGAAAACCTGGAATCCATTGCTATCACACTGCTCAAATTGAGCCTGCATTCAAACCACTTAACTACAGTCACTCACTTAGGACATATCCCTGAAATGGCTATTTGGGTATTAACAAGAACCTCAGCAGCTGACATTGTCTCATTCTTCTTGTATTAGATCTAAGTTATTCAGTGTAACCAAATTTTAGTCTTTCTTGTAAGAAATATATTTAGTCTTCCTTAAGGTAGTATTTATCATTGACAACCCTATCAACTTATCTTCCAGGACAATTAGTAATTCATTTATTATAAATAAGAGAAAGGGCTCAGCATGCACCAAACTTTAAAAATGAAAGAAGGGAGCCTGCCTGCACTAGGAACTGTGCTAAGTGCTTTACAGGCGTTCTGTAAAGGGGAGCTAATAACACATTATCCATTCTCTTTTAATTCATTTCCAAGGCCAGACCTCATTTAAAAATGTTCCTGGGAAAATCTCAGTAAGAAGCTAAGGCTCTCCTGCCTCTGCCAAACATTTAGTTCAGAGTACTTTATTACTCTCTCTGCCACTTTGCCCATAAAATTAGGGCACTGGCCTCTACCATTGGATAAGAATAGATATTCAGTGAACCACAGAGATGTAGAAAGATTCTCTTTTATGCTGTGGAGCAGTATTAGAAATAAAAAGCAGTGGCCTAGAAAGCATGACTCTTGCTCCCTTGTTCTCTTTAATTACCTCAATTTTAAACATCTTCCCCCCAGGTCTCCACATTGACATGGTGCAAGGTTATATTCTTGTCTACCATGGGAAGAGTTCACTTAGAATTTCCAGAAGATCCATTTATGCTTTTTACATCATCTTGGCTTCATGGACTTTTTAATATTCTACACAAATGAACAGAAGGACCAAAGCTCAGAGCCTTCCAAATTAACCTGGAATTAAATATTTGAGAAATAAAACCAGAATGTGCTTCCCCCTTAAATGCTTAGCACTTCTATGTACTATCTGGGCAAGCAAAATTTAGCAACTAGAGAAAGATTTTATTTGAACTTGTGTTTTTGTTAAGATTTTAAAAAGAAAATAATTTATTTTTATGTTGGCCTTTGATGATCTAAGTTCTAAAACACCATGTTGTAAGAGTTACAACAGTGTTGAATATCTGCTGTACCTTTCTTCGCAAATCTTTTGCTTTAATCTTGAGTTTATTGACTTGAGATCCTGCTATCACTGCCATTTCCTTTCATCAGCTCATGTTTCTGCTGCTTATATTTGGAAAGATATTGATTGGTGTGTGATTCTATAAAAATAAAAAATGCAAAACTGTATCACTCTCCCTACATAGTTTTTTTTCTCTGACATGAAAAATAATTGAAATACGTGAAAAGAATCTAAACTTTGGAGT